GATAAAAATTCCAAAAAATTCAACATTTTAAAAAAACTCGGCAAAAAAAAATGTTTTCTGGGACCATGCGTCCTGATGGCAGGACGCATTTTTTGACAAAAAAAATGCGCGTGGTCCCACGCGGCGGACAAGCAAAAATAGGCTGGTCGTCAACGTGTTAAAATATACTTTCTGATTGGGACCCCAATGACGAAGCGATGGATTGCAGGTGACATCGTTGAGTTGAATAAAAAAATTTCCGGATATCTAAATTCTCATATACTGCAACACTAATTTTTATAAGAGACTTTGATTTTCATTCCATAATATCGAAATTAGGTATTTATGCTCGGTTTCCTCCTAGCGTAAGACGTTCCTGACTTTGGCCGTAGAGCCTCTTTTTCCTGGCTTACATTCGGTGATTTCGGTGGCCCGTTCCACGAGGACAGATTGCGAGGAGCCCTGGGCATAGAAGGAGATGTTATTGAGTGCGGTTAGGGCACATGAGATGCATTCCCTCGTCTCTTCCCCTTCGCACACGTCCTTGTGCCTCACGATGTTCAACAGGTGATCCAGGCATCGATGACTTCGACCGATCTCCGGACCCACTTTCGGAGAAATGCTCATGTTTGCCACCACCCGAACAACCTGTGTGAGTGAAAAAAATGGACGTTAAATTGATCCAATTTCAGTTGATCCAATTCCTGACATCCACTAGACGTCAGAATGAACTGGGGCGATGGCCTGGTCCGACCAGTTTGGCTTGGTGTGAATAAATCAATCAAATAAATGACGTGAAGATTTATCAGTCGTCGAAAGACGGAATGGACTGGAAAAATCTATTATTTCGTTCGACTCCTGACCTTGATGATGACGTCGGAAGGATTTCCACTACTTCCTTCACTGCAACCTGGCTTCGTTGCCTCCTTTCCCTCGTTCAGGTCCTTTCGTAAATACACCGAAAGGAGGTCCAAAAGTACCTCCAGGGCCCCAGCCTCGTGCAACTATTCACATCAAATTTCTCAAACTTATGAGTTTAGTTCTATTGAGTGGTGTTACGAGGGTCACTCCAAGAGACTTTGTAACTATAAATGAGTTAAATACTTGTTGAATGTACTTCTTTTCAGTTGCTTGTGCCACTTTCGTCCATTTCTGTTTACATTTAGTGAAACTAAGTGGAACTACAATGGAAGTAGGCAGTAATATCTCGAGAGGAATGCTTTTTTCCTTGGTCGAAGGGATTCATCTTTGTTGGAACTGTGAGTGAGACACCTCACCTGACGATTGCTTTGATGAAACGTTCATGTGTATTTTTTCTGGATCAATCCTCTTTCATATGCAAAGGTGTTCAACTGGTACCGCTTCTTCGAATGAGGGAAAGGTGATTTTGACGATGAGCCCCGACCTTCATATCCTCTGACAGCAAGTGATTCAACCAATCATTGACATTGGGCACCAGCTAATGAGAATATTCCAAGGAGTTCCGCTTTGACGAGGAAAATATTTTAAAACAGGGACTAGAACAATACAATTTTTAATCAAATCGTTGCTGTCAGAGGACACCCACACAGTAGCTCATCCTTAGTCATATCTCCCTCTCTGGAAGAGCCGGTACCATTTGAACACCTTTGCACATTAAAAAATTCCTAGAAGTTCATTCAATCAATGAGAGAACTTGAACAATTTCCCCTTCATTTCTTGGAGGAAAGTCTATAATCTTTTGAAGAGACTCACGTATAGCGAATATGTCATCGGGGCACTGAATTTGCTGTGCAGAAGTCAACCAGATCTAGGTTTTTATTTCGTTAATAATCTGAAATTCGGAACTAATAACTGCAGAACTTAACAATACTTTTACAAATGACTGGACAAGTGCTTCAAATGTAGAAAGCGCAACTCAAAGGGAAACATCAGTAATTGGGACAAGCCACAGCCTATCAAGGACCTCAAATCGAAAAATTTCGCATTAAACCTAGCAGTCCATGCAATTGCACACGGGCAACGAGGGCATCGAGAGTTACCTTTGCTCTGAAAAGGCGCCTTTTTCGGAAATGAGCGCTATTCACAGACCTATGATACATAATAGTTGCTCCAGTAGTAAATGTAAATGTAAAAAAGCCTTACGTTCCAATGAGCAAAAGGACATCCCTGAGACGTCCCATATGGATCCCACGTAGGACAGATGGCATCCCATGGATGTCCCTAAGAAATGTTCTCTGGATGTGGATACCCTAGGAACATCCAGAGGACATCCCGGAAGGTGAGATATACTGACGTCCCACGAGCCAAATCCCTCGTATGTCCATGGGATGTCCGTTGTGGGACGTGGAACGTCAGGATTTGTTAGGGACGTCTATGGGATGATCCCATGCTACTTGGGTTGGAGTACACATTAAGAATTAAAATATATCACTACCAGTGGAGAATGTATTCTGGAGACCCAGGACCTACAAGTTCTTAGTTTTGCCAACAAAATACGGTACCATTTGCGGTACATTCCAGTGCAGCGAAATCTGATAGAATGCTGCCGATTCTATTCCTCAGTTCCCAGTAATGTAAACATTATTATTACCCGATCTCTGGCGTGAGGGTAGAAGGCAACGAGGTTTCCCAAGGCGTATCCGATCCTAACCACGGTCTGGCTGTTAGACGGATGCTCCTTTAGAAGGCTGGTACAAGTCTTCATCAGGTCCTCGTCCCCTGCCAAGATGGCATCGCAGCATTCTTCAGAAGTGGACAGCACGCTGACTCAAGGTCAAGGTAGGGAGAAAAAGGGGAGAGAGAGAAGAAAAAATCTCGTTTGAATGAGGTGGACCGAACCCATGGATGTAAGTCACTCTTCCGTGTTTTTTTTTCCAGTACAAGGACAAGTATTCCTATGGTCTCGCTGAAGACAAGAGAGATTTCATATTTAATTGCTGCCGATTTTTCTTCGTGATAAAACGAGAGAAAAACTGGGCTTCTTATAAGATTGATTCAATGGGAAAACCCAAGGAAAGGAAATGATAGCTGCAGACGATGCAAGGGACCTAGTTATTCAGCAAAAATAGGAACATCTTAAATGGGAAAACAACGCGAAAAAGCCTATTTTATTATTCAAAGAAAGTGATTCAATGTCTGGTGCTACATGGTGTAGATATGAGAAGATATAGGGTGGATTTTTGAACAGAGCTCGAGAATAATCCTGCATTATTGGATAATATAGCTTTATAGTGGAGCATTATTTTTTCGATTTTTGAACTCGCCAGATAAAGCTGCATTTTATAATGTTTTATTAAATTAATCCTCGATTATTTTCAACGACTGTTGGTGACAGCAACGTCGCATCTGATACGCGAGAAAGCAAAGTGGAAAGAGGTATTTAAAGATGGCAGCGCGCATCGCATGAATTAACCGGTATCACAAATGGCCTGAAAAAAATCCCTTGACATTGGGAAAAGAGTTCGTCGCGTAGAAGCGAAGAGCAACGCGCATTCGCAGAAGTGGAGGCACTCCAATAGCGTTGTTATTTCCCAATGTCAGATCAGGTTCTAAAAAATCAACAATGAACAAAACGCTTTCTTTCGCAGAGAGGAATCGTTTTCGAAAATCTGCGTTATAAAAGATCTCGAAGGGATTTGATTTGTCTGCTATGACTCCTCTGTATAAGACAAAATGTTGGCTTAACATGAGGTGACATCATTGTACACGACGGAAACCGTGCAGCCTGTCCATTGCGACTGCTGAAAATAATCCAACACTATCGACGAAAGTGTACCTCTGGACCTACTCTATTATAGGGGAAAACCATCTAAGTTCGGACACTATCACGTACATCGTTACAAAACCAAGCATTGGCAAGCTCTCCCTCTGAAACAGTTCTTCGCAGCTTGGAAGAGCTGTGTCTAAGGGTGACCTCACCAATGCTTTGTTTTATAACAATTTATTTTATGGTGTCCGAACTTAGATGGTTTTACCCTAATGACGAATCGGTGTCTAAAAAAAAAGCAGCATTATGGAAAATGCGCGGTTCAAAAATTGCTTCTTCGATAATGAAGTATTTTCCCTGAGAATATTACTAAGTTATCGGATAGTACTCAGTTTTAAAAATCCACCGTATGTCCAGGGCGTCAATTTCGTCGATAATGTTGAATTATTTTCATTTTTCTAAATAAATGAGCTGCACAAATTGCATCGAGTCCAATCGTATCGCTTTACGAAGACACACATTGAGGAGCCATGGGAGTTGGTTGCACTTTATGGTGACGAATTTGTAAGAGATTTGCATGCCTTAGCTTAGAGGCTCCTTCTCCTTTCCTCAGTACCCACGGTTCTTGACAACAGCTCTGCATCGAACTTTTCAAGATTGCAAGCTCCTTTGAAGCCACTGAGAGATCCAAATGCCCCCACTCCTCCTTGCACACTATCCAGAGACCATCCAAAGTGCGAGCTGACCGATTTCCCAAGGCTCGCTTCAGCATGCCGAAAGCACAGAAGGTGCTGCATCTGGGGATTCCACAGGAATGTCCGTGAATGGTATTATTCTCATTCCTGTGGCTTCTTCCATATGGTTCAAGAATATAGCAGTTGCCCAGGAAGTGTGGTTCAATGCCGCATACAGCAGGGAGAGTCACTTCTCAAATATCCACCCCAAAACTTGGTCTTGGTAAGATTGGGAATGGACCTCGACCTTCTTGGCCACTCTGCGGATCTGCAACCTCCCATTATCGCAAAAGCCAGCAACAACTAAGAATCCAGGCGAAAATTTTTCCTTGCACTCCAGGAACCACTTTTGAAATTTTTTTTTTTTACACCACGAAGATCGGGTGGCGCAAAAAAAAGTATGCGTCATGTTTGACACCTTAAAAAATCCCAGGTTTGTCATTTTTTATATAACATTTAAAACACTACTGTCAAGGATATGGCATTAAGAATTCAACCATAACAAGAAGGCATTTTGGCGATTGCGTTTTGATGAAAAGTAGTGAACCCTCAGTAGTTGACTAGCTGGAACCTAGCCTGAGATTGAAGAAGAGGAATGTCACTATAGTGGCCACTCCCCCTTCTGCAAGTGATCCTTTCCTTATTGCTTCTGGACGATGAACTGTTTTTCGTAATCATCGGCGATTGCAAGATCAATACTGGAGGGGTGAGAATTACATTATTCATAATTTGAATTTCAGCAGCAAAAGCATCTTTAGCACAACACCTTTAACAGACCTACATCTTGCTTCTTTTTTTCAGATTTCTTATGACGCCTGGTTTTCATTTCCTGTCCACTATATGACACTTTCCTAGTCTTCTCCTTTTCCATATTCCTTTATTATCAGACAACCGAACTGACCAAATGTAAAGTATTTTTTTCATGCAAATTATGATACAGATTAATTCATACCATGCGCGCCACCATCTTTAAAACTTATTCATCTTTGCTTTCTTTTGTTCGACATGCGACGTTGTCGTTACCAACTTCGGTTGAAAATAATAGATTAAATAATTTGGAATCGTCAAAACAGGTAAATTCAAATATTTAAAAAGTAATACTCTGCTTCATAATACAGTACTTTCTGATAATACAGGATTATTTTTAGTCATCAGTTCAGTAATCCACTCCTATGCATTCTATCAATACGTCGTTTCTTTCATTTCCGTGACGTCAACCGCATGGCCTTGTTAGGGATATTTGAATGGAGTCGACGGTAAACCTGAAGACGCGAGAGAGGTTGGAGACGACGTCGATGTCGTTGTGGAAGAGGGAAAGGAGGCGAGTTATCTGCTTCACGGCACCAGATGCGATCAGCTGATGGTAGACGTATTCGTCGCCGGCCACGTTCCGTAGAACCGCAGTCAGCTGGAACAATCCCGCACCCACGCTTCCTTCCACCTTCCCTTTCTCTTCCTTCTGTCTCCCACGTCAACAACCGTATGCCATCGTTAGTACGATCCGAGAAATCCCATCGTTCGATTAACAGCCGATGGAACTGAATTGAACCTGTTCGGTCGTCTAATGACTTCCGGAAAGAGATGCATGGTAATCTTTAAAGATTTTGACGACGAAGGGAGCAACTATAAGCTGTCAAAGTATTTTGTTATTCTACCGATGTCATTTGATGTGCCTGTCAGGAGGAATTTGATTAGTTTTTTCATTACACAAGTTACTTGATTACACCGATGAACATCTAAGTGGCTTAGAGACAAAAAATCAGGACACCTTTTAAAAGCCACCTGTATACACTACACCAGGGGTGTCAAACTCAAATCGGTCGGCGGGCCGCATTCCTTACCCTGCAGATGTCTGCGGGCCACACCCATATTTTATTACCGAAATTTGTTATTCAATCAGTTTTCACTGTTACAACTTTGGAACACACCAAATTTAAGTTTTGTCCATCGATGGCAGTTGTCAGCATTTACGCGCTTTTAAATCTATGGACGCTTAAAAATTTGTTAGAAACAGGTCTTCGGACGTGAGAACAGCATTCCATTTATCTAAGAAAAAAAACCCATTTGCTATAGGTCTGTTAAGAAAATGGAGAGTTCACGGTCACACGAGGCAACAGAACGCGCTTACCACGTGGTACTTATTACACACATATACTAATCACTTATACACAGCAGCTGACTCATATGCACCCTCGTGCATGCATTGACTCGCAGCCGCAACAGCAGCAGCACTGCAGTTACAATGGCAGCTGTGTCGTTCGAGATCGCACGCCTGGCTTCGTGACTCCTCCGAACGCTACCGTCGCTGCTGCTGCTGCTCGGATGCAGGGGAGAGAATGAGGTCGGCTGCGCCTCCGTGGCTGCGGCGTGTTAAGGCAGCAGCCACGGAGCAACCCTCTCCATTCGAATATTGACAGCCCTGGTCAACCAGGGGACGCCATCGTCTAATTGCCAATGAAGGAGGGGTGATGGCACCTTCAACCCTTCTTCGAGGTTAGGTAGGAACAGACGGCGGGCCGGATGAACCACCTACGCGGGCCGTGTGTTTGACACCCCTACACTACACCTTTAGCCGATTACAATGAGAAAAATTGAGCAATGACTATAAATGAGCTTATTAATGTCGACGTAGTCTAATTCATGAGGTGAGAGAATGAAGAAAAGTAAGAAAAGGAGGGGAATTGGACCTTGGCAGCAATGAGTTTGAGGTGAAGGACGAGAAGATCGAGGAGTCCGAGGCGGAGGAGGCGATGAAGGAGGAGGTCGTTGGAGGTGAGGCACTTCAAGGCACCGTACGCATAGATCAGAGCCTCCGCTTCTTCTAATGGGCTCGATCCACCGATCGTGTCCAGGAACAAATCTAAGCATCCACAAGGGAGAAACGATTGATCTTTTTTCTGTGAAAAATACTACGATAAGGTACTGGAGCGCAAAAGTTCCTTAAAGTTTTTTCCATTAACCCTTATAGTGCCAGAGTCGCTTACAGCGATGCTACAAATATCGCTTGAAAATGCCAGAGTCGAAGAGCTGGCACTAAAATGTCCAAATTCGAGAAGGAACACGATCGAACGCTCGGACTAGAAACATTTCTTAACCCTTTAATCGTCAGCTCTTCGACACTGGCCTTTTTCAATGAAATTCGTAGTGTCGCTCTAATCGGCTCTGGCACTATAAGCCTAAGGGTTAAAACGATTGAATTCCCTACTCACATCTGATATGAGAAAACATGGGTATTATGAACGAAATCACAATGGAGAGATCAACGGATAGTTATAAAAACCTCTCTCTTGGAATTGAAAACGAATGCTTTCTTGTGGGGTATCGATTCGCTGTGGAAGAGTGCTTTCCCATCTTCATTGGCTCGTTATTCACGGAAAACTCCAGCCACATGTAATCCACATGTAATCTAAAGCATTTCCAACTTTCGAGTTCCAATAGGAAGATCCAGGTTCACATAAATATCTGTAGATGCCAGTGACGACGTTGATTCTCTCATTATTCTCTCTGGAGGAACCACTTTGCCATGTGGTAACATTGCCAAGGTCGGAGATCACAATGCGCTTTTTGGATTTGCTCATAATTTTTATCGATCCTTTCAACAAATGTGTACTGAACAAAAAACAACAGAGATAATCGTGTTTTAAACATTGCCAATGAGCATTTACCACGCGAGAATCACTTTATTACAAGCCATGTCAAGAGTTATTGGTTGGGTGTACGAGGATCCTCTCACTCTTCTACTGGGAAAGGATCGACAGAGCAGACACCGATAAATCGATCAGGATATAGGACCGAATAAATCGGAAACACCACAGAGGGTGAAAGCCAGTCAGGACAGAAGGATGAAGGAGGTTCAAATCCTAACTCCATGCTTTCCCACGCTCGAGTAGTGATTTTCCTCACATTCATACTTTTGTGCATCAGAATAAAATAGAAAGCACTCCTTTTCTTACGGTGGGTGAGCCACGATCTGCTTCCATTATTACAGGGTGACACAAAAGTTCTGTACACTTTAAAAAACCATTGTTGGTTCTGAGCGCACATGTTCCAACACATTTGGTTTGGTTTCTAAATAAAGCTAATGGTACGAGGGACTTACACACAGAAAATTCAGTGCCTCAGTTCGATGGATTTTTCTCGCGAAAAAATCTGTCCTGCATGTGATGCGTCTGTATCGCATCGAATTTTGGATGCGCTTATCGCATCAAATGTTGGATGCGATAAAAACGCATCACATGGAGGACAACTCTTTTCTCGACGAAAATACATTAACTTGATTCTGGGTGTATAGGTCAGGTATATTATGCGCTTCTGCCGCATTGAACATTTCGTGATGAACTTCAGCCACATCGAAATTTGCCTTGCATGTCCTATTGTGGGAATATAGTGGCTTTTGAGCTTAAAGCCCGAATACACGAACCTCATTCAGGGGAGACAACGGGGCTTTTAGCGA